AATAATACTTTAAGCTTTAAAATATTTTCTTAGTGGAAATATTTTAGATAAGGGGATTACTAGCAAACTTAGAGGAAAAAGGATTAGATCCCCTTTGTGTGACTTTAGTCTCAAATAAACCGCATGTCTATAAATAGCAGGAGGAACCCCTTCAAGTCACAAAAAAAAAGACCTTTAACCCCTTCTCTACCTTATTCCCAATGTTCAAAAAGACGGATTTGGCTGCCTAGGCGGTTTGGGTGCCTGGCCCCCTAGGTGGGCGCCAAAGACAGGGTGCCCTCACCAAAATCAAACCCCCCCCCCCCACCCCAAACATAAAAAACAAGGGAGTTCTTAGAGCATGGTTTAAAGCCTCAGGGAGGCTTTAGGGCAATTTTAGAGCCCCAAACTCCTCGTGATCATGAAATAGACGAAAACATAATAGTACAACAATACAATGAGTACAATCACATAACATATTTATGGATGAGACAATCATACAAGTCTCAAAGGGTTGTTCAAAAAAAAAATTACAAGTCTGAAGGAGATTGTAACTTGTAAGTATCAATCAATGTGATTTATAATAATTGATCGAGTATCAATCAATGTGATTTAGAATCAATCACCTAATCAACAAACCTGTAAAATACAGAAGATTATATAATTAAGTCACTAACTATTACTTTACAATAAGACTTAAATGAATAACTGAATATATAAGACATTTTAAGACCTTAATTTCACTTTCACATAAGACTTAACCCATTAAGACATCACATAATCAATTATTTATCAAATAAACTAAAACAAAAAAATAAAATATCAAAATAAGACACATTGTACAAAAAAGGAATCAACTATTCATAAAAGATGACGATATATGCTCAACTTCATCATCCAAATGAGAAAAAATTCCATTAATCATAAAAAAATCAATCTTTTAACTACAAACATGTAAATATATCGTAAAAGAAAAAAAAGAGTAAAAAAAAAAACACATGATTCATAACATAATATGTTGTAGCAAAATAAAATCAAAACCTTCTTTCAAATATGATAATACTTCTAAAAATATCAAAATCAAATCGATGTCGGTGCAAACCTCATCTATTGGGTCACCAAAAGTTCTCAAAATCAACTACTAGAAGCTCCAAATCCACCCATGAACTATTGCCTTCGTTTGGGAAGAAATCGAAAAAATAAAAAAACTATGGATCTTTCGATAAATCACAAAATAGTAGTTTTTGGGGGGGTTCTCACCCTAAAGGTCATGGTTTTTCCATTGGGGGCTTAGAATACCCCCTAAAACACTTTTTCCCCCTAAAAAAGGGGAAATTTTATATTTTTTACCCTTGCCGAGGGTTTTTTCCACTCGCTCGCAAGCTGTCACAAGGCAACGCCTAGGCAGGCGCCCAGACAGTAGCGCCTAGGAGAGCGCCCAGAGACAGGGCGCCTAGGCTTTTTTAAAAAAATTTCGCCCAGGCGTTTTTAAAATTTTTTCGCCTAGGTGGGCGAGTGGCTGAATTTTCGAAAATGGCTTATTCCCATATCTAAATTACAAAATTTACTTTTTTCTTTTTATTAATGTCCACATCATCCCAAATCTAAAAAACTTTCTTGCTCCATGAACCCCTCTCTCCCTCTTACAACCTCTCATAGATCCACACTCTCTTCCTTGACCTGAAATGGATCCTCTCTCTCTCTCTCTCTCTCTCTCTCCTCCTCCCCTCCCCTACCCTCCCTCCTCCTTCGTCGTACGTAACCTACCTACTACTCTACTACACACTACGTACGTACTACTACCACCTACGACACACACAACTAACTAACTAAGTTA